TTATAAAAATGACTATTGTAATGCCAATATGACACAGCTTGTGAATGTTTAGTGTGCTGCTGTTCAGTGTACATAAACAAAAGTAATCAAGTGGGATATAGCAAAGAGGCTTCCAAGTATTACGTAACCTCCCTCAACAAGGTATACCTCAGTTCCACCTCTGCTAAATTATGAGATTGACAACACTAACAAAATTGGAATAAAAAATCGATCCATGTTTTGTAAATGATGTATTTCAAATTCACTGTGTTATTTAAAAAGGGTAAGCTATGCTTCATGCCAACAGTAAATGGCCATTCCTAAAGCAGTGTTTTTAGCCTTTTCTTGTACTAGCTTGTTGTGTATAAAAAAACCCAGTGCTGTTTATTGAAACAAAATTTTCCTTCCTGCTTTTCTCTTACCTCCATTTCCCAGAGTATCTCATACATTTATTTAACTGAATACTATTTAGGTTTGCTGTGTCTGAGGAATATTTGAAAACTTAAGCATGACTTTTTTTAATTTTTCTGTGAGCTGTGACACTGGAAAGCTCTGAATTCTTGTTCTTTTTTTTAAAAAAAGTCTTTTTTTCCTATTTATGTTTGTGAAAAGGTCTGCCTAGCGTGCGCTCTGTTTCACTCAGCAGTGTGCAGAGGGTTCTGTATCACTGTTCAGGATCACCTCAGGAAGCTCGGTTATCCCCAGGTCCTCGCTCTCGGCGCTGGGCCCCGCAGCTCCGCTCGACGGAAGGCTCGGTGCCACCTCGCCGCAGTACTGCTTCGTGCCTGCGACACGCAGGTTTATCCCAGGATCGGGCGAAAAACTCTAGCCACAGATTTCAGATTAGAAATGCTTACAGATTTCAGGGATGATTTAGTTACGCTGACAACTTAAAACATGCAGTGACCGTTTAGAGGTAACGAATGCCGATGTCCGTAGCACAGACTCGCAAAACAAGAGGAAAAAGGTTGAAGTTGCGTTCACAACTCCAGCGTTCTTCTCGAGGTCAGGAAGTCATGCCTTCGTTCCAGTTACAAAGTGACCGGTAGGTAGGTGCCAAAGCGCTTCTCGGAAGTGCTGTTTCACTCCCCTTATTCGATCCTTTACCCAAATCTCCAAGTAAAATGAATTTTACAGACCTCTAGAGTACAGAACCGCCAAGAGCCAGTAGCACGCTGTGTATTTCATCGCTGTTTCCACACCATGCGTTCAGCGTCTTTCGAAAGGAGCTCGCTGTGAGTGGTATCTGGAAAGTGGATCTGTACAGCCACGAGGTAGGCGCAGTTTTACGTCTACATGAACTTAATCGCTGGGAACAGTAAGAGACGTTACGGATAAACAAGACCTAGGTCAGCACGCTCTTGGCAGGGAGGGGAAGAGAGGTCTAACGCACCACCCAGCGCTGTCTGTCTTGCTGCTCGCTGTCTGTCTTGCTGCTCGTCACGCCCGAGGTCCCGGGGAGCCGGAGAACCCCGCTCTGCAGGCTCGTTGGTGCTGCAGGGCGCAGCCTGGCTATAAAAAGAGAGAGATCCCGTTTGTGGGCGCTTCTTCGATTGACGCTTTCATTTTGCTTCCGTTTTTAATCCAGGGACATGAGTTACGCACACAGCGGGACACGAACGTAGCTGCCGAGTTCTGAACAAATAAGAACCCGTTCGTACTTTGCTGAAGACCTCTGTGCTCCCCATGAGTTTTAACCCCTTTACTAGCAAAACTGGAGTAAATACCGATGGTGTCATAGTCCGTTATTCAAGATCCGATGCAGAAACTGGGCATGTATAAAACGTGCATCACCTGCATGTTATCCTTTAAACGGTCGCTCGTAGGCCTCGCGCTGCAGACGACGCAGGGCACTCGCTGAGCCCCGCAGCAGGAAAACCGAGATCAGTTCTCTTCATATTTGGGTATCCCTGCTTGTTTAAATAGCGTACTACTCCGAGTTTCCTGATTTTTAACAGCATGCTTTAGTGTCACTGTGAAAAGGAGGTTCCTGGTGGAAGAGCTTTGGGATGGGTAACGGGGAGATGCCCGGAGCCGTTTGGTACGACCGCTCTCGCAGGGCGTTTCGACCTCTGTTCTTGTTTTACTTCGAGAGCGTTTAACGTGCAGGTTGGGAAGATGCCTGAGCCAGCAGCGCTTTGCCAGGGTGAAGGAGGGCAGGATTCCGTGAGATGGCTGCTAGCCGGAATGTTTTGGCTTTGTTTGCTAGCGGGCGGCGACCGCTGTCCCTCTGCGTCCTGCAGCCGCGTGGGGGTGAGCTCCAGGGCTGCCCAGCCTGGGCCTCCTGAGGAACAGCCGGGCCCCGGCTCCTCACTTGCAGCCAAGTCCACTGCAAAATCTGCTTTTTACGTTGCGGTAGAGGGCAAGACGTTTCCGTAGGGCGCCCCGCGCCGCGGTACGCACCGCTCGGGGTCCCGCAGCCGGGCAGGGAGCCGCTGGGGTTGTCGAGTCCGCGCTGTCGGTGGTGCTGGTCGGTGTGGCTGTCGGGCACCAGCTGCGGGCGCTAACTGAAGGGGCACCAGGCAGCACTGAGGCGTGTCCTGATCCTATGAGCATCCGACGGAATAAGGCGGGTCACCGGTTTGCTCTTTTTCCAGCTTCTCTTTTTTTAACCTTTTTTAATGCATTTCCTTTTATTAGGAACACTTGGTACAAAACGCAGAAAGCTGCAATATTGCGTTCACGGGCAAAACGATTCAAGTAGCATCCTTGACGGAACATCATTTACCTCAGATACTCAACCAGCAGTACTTTTTTTTTTTTTTAATTTTATTTTTTTAATGCCGTTTCAGTCCATATACTATTCGTTACCTCTCGAGATTTTGGTAAGCAATTATTTTAACTTTACTCTTCGTATTTGTCAGTGTTTTGGGCACAGGTTGTTGTACTACTGTCAAAAGGTACTTGCTGTTTTTCTGCAAGTCCTAAAAACAAACCACCCCCCCCTCGCCCTCAATAAAGTGATTGTTAAATATTGTACAAATAAAAATGTATACTCTCTTTCTCCCCTATTCCCCCAAAAAGTTAAAATAAAAAATGTGACTACTATGACTTGTACATGCCTTTTTTCAAGCTGTAACGCTGTGGGAGAGGAGATTGCTGTTCCTACGGAGGCAGGGCGAGTGGGGTGGCAAGAAAAAAAGAAAATGGGAAGACCTTGCTGTGGAAATGTGGTGGGGAAGCAAAGGCAGAATCCGCACCATCTCCTGCATTTCTGATGGCCAGCTCCTCTCCCCGTCCTTCCCCCTCCTGAAGGGATACCTCACCGTTCCATAGCTTTTAACCACCCCCGAGCACCGAGGCAGACTCCCTGCCGCGGCGCCGAAGGCTTCAGCCCGGAGCAGAGGAAGGCGCCAGCGCTGCTTGGGTAAGTCTGCGTGCTGCAGCCGGCGCTGCGGGTCCAGGGGAGCGAGGCCCAGGGCTGCTGCCTGTCTCTTCTCCGCCTGCAGCCTTCTGCTTCCAGGGAGATCACCCAGCTCTGGTCCTTCAATTCAAAGCCATCACCTCTCTCCCTTCTAAAAATGTTAAATTTCATCAACCAGACCATTACAACGCCGTGGCTGCATGTAATTCCACTGAAAGGGGGGGTTTTCCCAGCCTGCGCTATTGCTACTGCAGCTCGCGAGTTCTGAAGGCCGAGCCGCGAGGCCTCTGTAACGCCAGCGCTGCGGCTGAGTCCCAGCACGTATCAGAGGGGTGGCTTCAAGATTCTTACTCAGGGCGAGGAGTTTCGAATGCAGAAGTTGAACCTCAAACCTGTGGCACAACAGGTTTGGCAGTCGTTTACGCAGCGCTGCCTGTTAACCGGTGCACCAGTCCCCTAGCGCAGCTGGCGCGGTGAGCAGCGGGATGGGCGCCCTCGCAGGCCTGTCCCGTCCTGAGCTGCTCCCCTTCGTTAGTAAATGAAGAGCGGGGAAAAGGGGAGCTGCTGCCGTAATTGATTTAACGAGCCCTTCCTGGGAGATACACAGCAAAGAGTGAAATAAATAAAATAACCCTCTGACCGCAGAGCAAAGGGGGCCCCAGCATGAGCAAACATCACTGAAATTCCTTCAGCTTTGTGGCAGACAAGCCCCCGGGCTGCTAAAACGCGTATGACATCGTGTAGGCTTTCAGGAGCCAACTTCCGCTAGCCAGGACAGCGGCCAAAGAGGGGGGCTGACGCTTGGCGCGGCCCGCGCTGCTTCCAGCTGCTGGCGTAAGCGGGGTCAAACGCTCCTGGCACCTAGGCTTTACCCAGCACTGCCTTGATGTGCCGGCACCAAGCCGGCCGTAACTCTCACCTGCCAGGGAACGTACGTCTGCTACACACGTACTGCCCACGGATAGCATTATGTACCCTTCAGACAGATCTTTCACTAGAACAGCTGGAAACCCCGTTTCTTGCCCCGCAGAGCGGAGCGCAGCTGCGAGGCAGCCAGGTCGGGGCTTCAGAGCTGCCCCTGCGCAGGGGCAGTCGCCCTGCAAGGGCTGCTCCTTCCTACGGAGCCGGCGGCAGAGGGTGGGGGGTACCTCACACAAAGATACACTTACCAGCTGAGGCTAGCTGTGAGGGAAGGTTTAAGTAAGTAAATTTTCTGTGTCGAGTCAGATTTGAGAAGAAAAGGTACCCCGAGAGTAGGGGCTTTAAACTGCACTAGCGATGGATCCGTGCTTCTGGACTTGCAGCGGGAGCCCCGCGGCCGCTGGTGGCAGGACGCTGCTGAGCCAGGAGCTAAAGCGGCCTTGATCCAAGACAGAGAAATTCCAGAGAGCTCTGACTTCTACAACGTGGAAACGTTAGCACTGAGCTGAGCTAAACTGCCCGAGCGTTTAAGTCAACCAAATTCATGGCCGTGAGAGGAGAACAGCAGCACAGTTCTCCTTAAAAAACAAAATCCCAACCCGATCAGCAAAGCAAGCTGCTTCCAAAAATTTATTAACCTGAACGCCCTGCTGTGGGCACACATGACGTCTTCTGGAGTTCGCGGTTACCTCCCAAAGTTTCCACGTAGAAAGCGATACTGCAAGTTCCAAAAAGTTCACAACCAACTGAGCGACGACGCTGCCCACTGTTTAACGTCTGTCGGGCAGTTCGGGTACGCTTGCAAAGCATCCATGATTTGGTTATTGTCCAACAGCAGTCTCATTAAGAGGTACTCTCTCTGAGTGCGTACAGATGGTCTTTCTATCGGTTTTACTAATTCCAGCTGTAGTAAGTGTTCAAATGCCTGAAAACAAAAGAAAAAAAATGAGGAAGTGGAAGACAGCATCGCTCTGGGCTGTGCTGCTCGTTGTGAATGACCTGTGAGGCGCCGCGCTGACAGAAACCCGTGATGCGATCTCGACAGACAAGCCCTTCAACGCCAGCTCAATTTTACCTTCGCCTTTCTTCGTAAAGAAATAGTATTTGAGCTCTGGTGTACGTGTAACTGACTGGGACCGACTCCCTTGTTCTGGGGTACAAACTGGAATAGCCTGTCACAAGTGCGCAGCCACGTTGCCTAGCGTCCAGTTGAAACGTAACTGAGTAACGTTGAATCAGAACTGGTTGAGGCCAAACCGGCTCTATTAGGCTGCAAATGGATCCCACACACCAGTCAGACCTACTGGGACTTGGATTGACTAAACCAGGTTTTTGATGTGGTAAGATGGATTTGAATTTTGGAGACGTCACTTCGAAACAACAGAAGTGAAGGAGCAAGCTGAGGACACCCACACACATACACAATAAAAGACATTTCAGGCTTACCTTCATGACAACCGGCTTTTCGAAGTTGTACATGCAGTGCGCCTTCCTTTGTATGAACTTCTGGAATTCTGTATCAGTAACGGGGGAAAAAAAAGTTACTTGGGGGAAAGTGAGTGAGTGATTTAGTGTCCGTAAAGTTCACGCGTTTCTCTCACCGTTGTAAACCATCTGGAAGTTAAATGGTTCTCCTTCATAAACATCATTTAAGTGTTTCATAGCTATAATTAGGCAGATTTCCAGGACAGACAAACCTAGAGGGAAAGACAAGAGCTCTAAATATTTCTCTTAAACATACCGGAAACACGAGCAGTTCACACACTATTTTCACCCCTCTATTTCAAATATGTGAGGCCTCCAGCATTTAGTGTCATGTATCATCTTCATCATGTGAAAAAATTCCAGAATTGGAGAGACTAGATAAGAGAACATTTGTTTTCCAGATATTTGAAGCAAGAATGTTAAGAAATGGGCTGCTTCCATCAAAAAGCAAGAAATGTAAGTAAAACCATCACTGCAGATCGTACGGCATGACAAAGGATTTTTAGCAGCACCAAGACGACCTCCGTGCTACTGTATAGCATGTCATGACACGAGAGCCTGAAGAGGTTGTTCACTGTTCAAAGCTGAAGAAGCGATACAGGGAATTAGCTCCACGGAGACCAAGCCAAACCAAAGCCTATAAAATCCGGAAGCCGTAAGGAAGCAATGGGATAAGTTAACTTTTCCTGGTCAGGGAAGCGATTCCTCCTGTAACTATACTTGGGCTTAGTACCAGCACCAGGAGAAGTTCACTTCTTCCCACTGTTTGCACAGGTCCCAAAACGCTTACCAGAGGAAACTGAAGCGTAGTGCTCCGTACATCCCAGCTGCTGAGGTTTAGAAAGGGAGAAGCCCCGGACCATGCAAAGGCGGCGGTGGCGGCGCACCGAAACACGCGAGAGGAGTCAGTGCAGCATTAGCAGCAGCTCGGTTAAACGCAGGTAAGCGCGTGCTCTGTAGCTCTGAGTACACAATTCAAGCACGCGCACCGACTGCGTACGTAACCAAGCACAGAGCGTGGCAGCTCGCGGGGGGGTTAGTGCTACAGCTCCCAGCCAAAGCACCTTCAGCATCCTCCGGCTCCCGGCACCGGCGGGAAGAGGTCCGCGTCTTCCTGTCCTCCCCCATCGAAATGGGACGGCGCCGCTGCCCAGGCCCCGGGTGCGCTCCCCAGCCAGCACCGCAGCACCACACAAGCTGCCTGGTACTGACAGTTGTGAGCCCGCATCACAGCCATGCACTGCCCGAGCTCCCCGTGTAGAAGGATTTATATCAACTATTCTGTAACTCAATTTCTGGTTTATTCAGCATTGTTACATCCACGCAGATGTACGAATGCAAATTCGCAGGGAGCAGGCTGCACAGGCGGAGGCATTCCCTGGGCAGCTCATGCCAACAGGGGACACGGCACTACACAGCGTCCCTTACATCAGAAGAACTTCAGGGAGAGCCTGAGACAGAAACTTTTTTGGGGAAAAAGCTGAGCTTTACCATGAACAATATTTGCTTTCGAGTCCATTCTATAGTGCTTGCTTGCTTCATGAAGATCTGATGCAGTGATAAGTGGGTGATGCACGGTAACGTTACTTACAGCGAGCATCTAAAAATAAAGCAGAAGACATTTTTCATTTAATTACTAATTACCAGGCACACTTTCTGCCTCGAGATGGAATGCAGAAGGACACATTTCCCCTGGAGTCACCTACTGGAAACATTACTGAATAAACCCTACACACAGTAGGCTCATACTGAAACCTTGTAAATAGCTGGTAGCTACAACTACATTTTGCCAGGAAGGTTTTCCAGGCTGAAAACTTTAAAGCCTCCTCGCTAGAGAACATAAACACTCATTAACTTGTTTATATTAATTTCAATGGATTAGCATACTTCAGTGATTGCTGTAAGAATGACTTACAACTATTTTAAACGTACCTTTGTACACAGAGCTACAGCACACTCATGTCACAAAGCGCTAAGAAAGTGGCTGAAGGCGCCTCTTGGATTACAAAATATGAATTACCCTGCAGAGCATTTCCTAAACAGCCTCACCTAGTTGTAATTTGCATCTCTAACCTTCTTCAACCACCTGTCACAGAAGTGAGTTTTGAACAAGCGTGAGTTAATAAACACATAGTTAGCTGACCGCTTCTGACACCACTCTTGCAAAGCTACTGATTACCCTTTACCCAGCAGCAGGCGCACTGCAGTGACCTTCGCTTGCTCTTCAGGGCTTTAAGTATCTGCCCTGTAGATACTTTGTCAGTTAATATTCATCAACAACAACAATGGCTTTTAGTGACTGCCTCCCACTTCTGCAGGTCTGTGTGATGAACAACGATTTATTTCATCCCTTTAATTGAGGTCTTTCACTGAGAACATCCAATGCTGTCTACCACCAGTCTTTTCCAGTCCTCTTTCGCTTCTTCGAGATGTCAACTGAACAGCCTCAAAAAGCTGTGCGACCATTAGACTTCCAAAGGTACGGAATGAGGTTTTATACTGTACAGGCTAAAGGGAATTCGGACAGGGAAGAAGGGGAGGGGTGAAGAAACAACAGCCCCAAGTCACTAACAGACATGCAAAATGGAAAGAGGTACGGGAGACACAGCAGTATCTCTTGCCAGTCACTGCTCCCTCTGCTTCAGGGCTAGTGAAACCTGTGAGGGACCAGGAACTGCACCGAACAGAGCCTGCAGCACCAGGCGTCCTCTGCTTTACCAGGTTCAGAGGCAGACATGAAGTCCCCCACACGAGAGAAACTGTAGGGGAACAGCATTTATCAAAAGCAAAACTAGATTTTACCAGCTCGGTTATGAGCTTGCTAGTTCTACTTACGTAAAAAGTTACTTATTTTACCTCGCTAAAAACCGTAACTTGTTCAATTCTTCCAGGCTTTCACACGATACCCTTTGGGTACTGCAACATGAAACAGATCCTAAGTTTCCATCGAAAACCCATGTGTTCATCTGACAACGCAAAGCGATGGGGAGCGCTACATGTAATTTAAAAAGAGTTGGTCGTTGAAAACAAGTCCTTGCTACCGAATAGCAGGTAAATAGCAAGAGTAGCCCCAGTTCTCGCCACCACCACACGGCCCATCACGAAGCTTCTCCCACCGGCTCAAATGGCAGACTCCTACAGATTTTCAAAATTAAAGAAAAATTCAACCTGCAGGGCTATTAATCCACGCTTCAGGTAATACAAAAGAATTACAGAAGTGCTAGAATCTGTATAACATACTTTTATGAGCAAGATGACTTCAGAGTAAAAAAGCCTCTTTCTAAAGGAAAAATTCAGAACATGCTGAAGAAAACAATTAGGAAGTTCAGCCTCAGCTCTGACACACCCTGGAGCTCAAGGGGAGGCTATTCAGATAGCCATCAGCTCTTTGTCTGGCTTTCCTTCAAGCCAGAGAGAGAGAATTGGGAGCTGCTAAACTAGAAATAATCTGCAAGCTTGTAAAGAACCCAAGTCCAGAGAGGACTACCAGAAAGAGGACGCTGATCTCGCTCCTGTGTTTCAGAACTAGAGCGGGAAGTCTAGGATCTGGTTTTCGGGGTGGCTATAAACGCAGTGTGCTGGGTTTGGCTGGCGTAGAGTTAATTTTCTTCACAGCAGCTGGTATGGGGCTGTGGTTCGGATTTGTGCTGGAAACAGTGCCGACAACACAGGGATGTTTTAGTTGTTGCTGAGCAGTGCTTACACTAAGTCAAGGCCTTTTTTGCCGCTGACCCCAGCCCACCAGCGAGGAGGCTGGGGGTGCTCAGAAGCTGGGAGGGGACACGGCTGGGACCGCTGACCCCAACTGCCCAAGGGCTACCCCACACCGTATGCCACCACGCTCAGCACAGAAAGCTGGGGGAGGAAGAAGAAAGGGGGAAATGTTTGGAGCGATGGCGTTTGTCTTCCCAAGTCACCGTTACGCGTGATGGAGCCCTGCTTCCCTGGGGACGGCTGAGCACCCGCCGGCCGATGGGAAGGAGTGAATGAATTCCTCGTTTTGCTTTGCTTGTGCGCGCGGCTTCTGCTTTACCTGTTAAACTGTCTTTATCTCAACCCATGAGTTTTCTCACTTTTACCCTTTTAATTCTCTCCCCCATCCCACCAGGGGGGAGTGAGGGAGCAGCTGGGTGGTGCTTAGTTGCCGGCTGGGGTTAAACCACGACACTCAGCTTTGGGAAAAGCTGTAAGCACTACAGAGCCCAAGAACAGCCCACCACAGAGCTGAAGGTTAACATCTGAATACTTGCACAACACAAGATAAGCAGGTACGTTTAGCGGGCTTTTCACACGGACAGAAGCACACAGATATTTTAAGGTGGTTAAAACAGCGTTACTTATCTTCTGTAATGAACATTATTGCATTCATATTAACTGTGTTAAAAAACAGGAGGGAGGGAGGCAGATTAAAAAAAAAAAAAAACAACAAAAAACAAACAAACAAAAAATAAAACCCTCCAAGAGAGCCTCACCACGGGTTAAGCTTCAGCTCATTTGTCGTGATAGGAGGAAGTTCACTGTCAGCATTACCTCCTACCTACTAAATACAGAAGTCGTCTCTCAGAGTTAACAGGGAAGCAGCAGTCTAATTTTTCTCCGCACAGTGAGGAGAGGCCTTCCTTCTCTCCCCTAAGATAACTAGGAAAGGTTGAAGCTACCAAGTAAAATTCTGAAAGCTTCCTCAGGCCCTTGATGCCAGACAACGTGGTCATTCGGAAGATCAGAATTAACTTCCGTCTCAGTATTTCTGGGGATTACTAGCCTCAAGCTTCCAGCACCTCAAGATTTAAAAGATTAAGATCGCATTTCCTGGACTAGCATCACAGTAACGGAGAAATTCAGGACAGCATCTGGGCTACTGAAATTGCTCCATATATGAAACCAGCTCTGGAAAACAAAGTGGTGCTTAATCATACAGTTCATAAAGTGATTTTATCTGATACTCTGCGTAAGAACAAATTGGAAGCGATAAAAGAAAACAACAGTATTTCCTCTGTGTGAATAACGAGACTAGATAAATGGGAACTCTCTTACTGAAGAGGTATCCAGGAGCAACTAGTCCATAAATGCAAGTAATCTGTGCTAAGGAGCATCGTAACAAGAACACTGATTTAGGAAGGAGGAGGAGTGGAAAGAGGGATGACAACAACAAATATTTCAGCTCTAAGTGACAGTCATTCCAAATGCAGCACCGTGTGCTTTTATGTCGAAAGTGCATATACCTACACAGAGAGTAATTCAAGAGCAGCTGAAGAAAAAGGTGAGGATTGGCCAGGAACACAGACAAACCCCAGCAGTGTCAGGAGGACGACAAAGCGGAGAGCGTAAGATGATGCAAAATACAGTAAGAGACCATAGTGCAAAAAAAAAAAAAAAAAAAAAAAGAAAAAAAGGGGGGGGGGGACACGACCAAAATTTATTGATCTTTGAAAAAGACAGACATTGATGAAGAGAAGCAGGTTCAGAATAGCAACAGACTTAGTGAAAGAGGAGGAATGGAGGAATATTTGGCTGCAACAACAGCCTTAAAGGTCGAAAAAGTAGGGTTTAGTAGAAGCAGTTTTCAGGATTCACCAGCAACCAAAAAGAATCTCAGAAAGGAAAGATTTTGAAAGTATTTCACCTACAGTTTTGCTTTATAAATGGAAAGGCTTGGCAAAAGTTATTTTAAATACCAAAAACCCACCACCATTTTAATTAAACAGTATACCCTCACAATGTAACGGCTACGGAAATTGGAACTACTCAAATTCATTAATAAAGCACGGACTGATAAGGCATGAAAGAACCCAGCACTGTCAAAAGCCCGCTCAATAAAAGATGTTTCAAGAAAAGCTCAGATAACTGGCTTGAAAAACACAAGTGTTGTTGACAGATTATCATATACATATCCAAATACATACCAACAGCAAGTGAAGGGAGCGCAGATCTTTAGTGCGGTGAAAAAGGTTCTGCAGCACGTCTTGCACAGTTTTATCCTCCGAGAGACACTAAAAACAATTTCAGTGATATTTTAATCATCTCAGCAAATCATTTCATACTCACCTGAAAAAATACCAGCTAGCTAACTTCCAGAAAGAGCTCAGCTTATGCTTGACAATACAATTCTTCCTGCCTAACCTTAACTTTCTGGTCTTTTTTGTGACACTTACGATATTATCTCCAGACTTCAATAAGCAAAGATTCTCTATCACAATTTGATTTACTCCATATCAAACTCAAATAGTGAAAGGAAATACTAATCTTAGGTAAAGGCTTTACACTTATAAACTGGTCTTACTTTAGAAGTTTTATTAAAACCAAGTATAAAGAGCTTTAAATACCTGAACATTATTATTCCATTTTTGTGCAAAAGACTCATCAGGAAAGTCAGCAGGACCTTGTTAAAAAAAGTAAAAAAAAAAAAAAAAAAGCAGATGCATTTAGTGCATTCTTTGCTACAGTAAAAACTACAAGAGAAAACACAGAAGTAAATAGTGTTAAAAAAAAAAAGAATTATTAAATTCTCAGGCTTAAAATGTTCTAACAAGACCTTTGCTAATTATTATAATTGATGTGCCTTGAAATGCCTAACAACTAGCCATTTACCCAAATCATGTGATGTACTACATCATCCAGGATAATTAGTTGCTAGGATACCCAGCAAAATTTCTCCATAGATTATGTAAATATTTCAGTTACTTAAGTCTGCATTCAAGATGTTTCAGCCTATCACGGCTCTAGACAAGTTGTCTCTTTAGTAGATACGTAGGGTGGCAGCTGTCATTTCACATGCCTTTTGTCAGACTGAAAGAATCCAGCTTAAAAAAAAAATTTAAGAGCCAATATTTATCTTCGAAGATTGTCACACAGAACTAAGCAAGTCTGCCATCAAGTTGTTGGTTGAAGATAACGGAGAAAAGCGTACTTTTCTCAGAACACATAGCAATAGACTGGCATCAGAAACAAGCTATGGGCTTCAGCGTTCTACTCCCCTACCTTCTGCTGGGGCAGAATGATTACACTCCTAGTTTCTAGGGATTTTGGGTGAGCCTTTTTGTTTTTTAAGGGTTGTGTTGTCTGTTCGGTTTGGTGGTTTTACTTGCACTAAAAAAAGGCTTTAAGAATACTGAAATCCCTCACCAAAAAGAGAGCGATAACAGTAAATAGAGAGCCAACAGTGCAAGATATAAAGATCCCTTTCGATTTAGAAGTCACATGCAACAGGGACCAGTGATTTAAAAAAAACCAACAAAAAAAAAACCCCAAACCCCCCCAAAAAAACTCAGAAGCAACAGCTATCACCACAACCACAGTACAGCCTCTGGAGACTCTACCTTAATTACATTCAAAAGCAGAGCAATACGGGGTTCTAAATAATGGGTAATGAGGATACCAGACTCAGGACAGTAATGAAGCAAAAGAAAATACTGTAATTTACTAAATCAACTATTAACGATTCTATTAAATTCCAGAAATTTGCCCAGCTAAATATCACCTAAACCCAATCAACTGCAGCTTCAGGCTTCAATGAAAGATTTTAATTATTCTTCTTCATGTCATAACCTGGCTACCTTCACCACCAATCCGGTTTATTGAGAAAAACAGTATTATTTTTATAAAGTATCAGCTTCCATAGTGTTACAAAGTAATTATTTCATAGTATACACATAATCTGTCCACAGCTCCCTATGATGTCATTGTAAAAATGCAAGTTTAACACAGATCCTAAACCCATTTTGAACATGCTAATGTTACAGTAAAAGTGCCCTACTGAAGTATGTGATTAAAAAGAATTCTTTGTCCTCAGGAATACAAGTTAATACAAGTCTGTTCTTACCAACTGCTGACCAAGAAACTGAAATGCCCACGGGCCTCTCCAAAGAGCGAACAACAGTATAATATAAACCAGCCACATGGATAAATATGGCTCTTCTGCGGTAATACAGGACAACAGGCTTGTATCTCCTTAGAAATGTAAACCTGTTCTTTTAAGAGTAAAACTGAAGGCTTTGCAGTTTTTTAGTCATCTAAGTTTGCTCTCAGCAGAAATTATTTTCTTTTTGTCCCCACCCCCACCCCCCTTCCCAATTAAAAAGTCAGAAAAATGGATAACTGAGAAAAGTCTCTTAGTAAATTAAGTAAGGTTCCAGGAGAGGAGAAAACATTCCAGCTAAGACAAAAGCCTCTTTGAAACAGCTACAAACTTTGAACGAGAAAGTTCAATTTCTTACCTGCCTGCATGTAAGTCCAATAACTGTTACTGGAGTCTGTGCTGACTGGGATATATCAAAGAGGTTATAGAGCAGTGTCTGATTCTTGTGATGAACAAACAAGTCAAATTCATCCAGTATAAACAAGACCGGACAGCTGCTAGTTCGATCTCCTGAGATAGCAATTTTAAAAGTTAGTATATGGTAACATCATCATCAGACTTCCATCTCTACAGCCTTCACATTTTCCGGTTTTAACAATTTACATATTTTCTTTTAGCTTTTCACTAAGCCCTCCTTTCACATGTGTACTGCTAAAACAGTAAAAAGAAAAATACACTGAAAAATTGGTAAGGTTTTTGTAGTAATCTGCCAAGCATCATTCCTGGTTGCGAGGAAAGACAGACTTCTACGGCAAATTTTTAAAACAACACTATTTTTAATAGCTTCAATCTAGATAAAAGAATCTTTCCTACATAGCTGACCATGACATGCAAGCCTTTATGGCATCAGTTACACTAGGTATATGTTTGTTTAGTATTAGGTATTTTTTACATTATTTTGTAACCACGACACATTCTTGGGCTAGATTTCTTCATACCACTTGCACAAGTAGACGAAGAAACTTGTATATGCTAACTTTTCAGTCAAGTGACAAACGCACACACACTGTTTCAGAACAGGCACTACTAGTGTTTACCTTTCCTTAAAGCTTCAAGAAGGAACGCAAGATTTTCAGCAAAACTGCCCTACACAGGGAAGAAAAAAGTTTCACAATAGATTTTCAATATCATTCTCAGAATTGTGTGACTACATCAAGTTCAGGCATGTAACGAAGCCCGTTTCCTTCTAAAACCCTGCTTTCAAAACCAGCACGTACTTGAAAATTTACAATGTTACTTCATGTTGTATAATCATAACCTCTTCAGGACAAGAAAACTGATAGTTAATGCTACATTGATCCACTTTTTTCCAGTCTGAAAACTCCAAACTAATTGCCTCAGACAGCTAAAAATTAAGAGATCAGAAGAATGTCTACAAATTTACAAGTAGCTTTATCTTTCCTTAAGTAGCTATTGCATACTCCTTTTCCATCTACACACATGCAAAAACTGCCACCTAACGTGTTCCACTGAGAATGATCAGTATGCAGTTTTTTAATTTGCAACCTTATTAGAGAGATGAAAACATCAAACATTCATGACAGAAAACAACGAATTGCTACGACCATCCTGCTTCAGTTACACGCGCATTTACACACTCGGAAGCACGCAAGCTACGAGATGGGAAATAACTATAATTGAAGACCACAAGCCCTATCAAAGAAGGCAGAAAGGCCAATTTACTCTCTGAATGTGAGTTGCAGAAGCTAAGAAAGGAAAAGTTTCTATGGAGAGAAGTAAGGACGTTCCTGCAAATCAGCATGTTTCCATGCCCATGTGCAACCGAAGGGATTAGATGACTAAGAGTTTAAAGTAGTACTCCACAATAACTTAACGAGGAAAATGATAGGGGAATTAAGCATATTTAAGTCCAGTTTTGACTCCAGCATTTTTGGTAGTGGAACTGGAGACCTTGAAAGGTTGTTCTAGGTCTCTGTTGAAAAGACAACTCATTCAAATGGCTATGCTGAAATTAAATACTTGCTATTTCCTTTTATTACTGCAGCTGTATTTGGGAAAAATCTTAGCTCACCACCAGAAAGGGTTTTCCATTCTCCGTATCTAAAAATCATTTGGGATAAGCAAGAAACCAAAGCACAGCCTAAGAAGCAAGCATTTCCAAAGGATGATAAAGCCTAATAATGACAAATCTACACTTCATCTTGTATTCCACACTGCCTCTAACCTAGTTCTCTGGTTTCTCTTAACTAAAGTAGTAACATTTTATCTCTTTAGAAGCTTTCCAAATGCAACTGATGAAAATAAACCTCATCTATTGAGACTTCACCATTCTCCCCTCTCATAATTCCACTTTAGCCCCTTGGATGGGTATTACACATGACTCACAACTACAGGAACTCTGGCAAACTCAAAGGCCCTGTCTGGGAGCAAAGGAGGAGATGGTGGTCAGAAGGACCTTCTGTCGTACCAGAAGATGGCCTCTCAAGAACATGCACTGAATAACCGGCAACAACCGCGGTAGCTCAGATCACTAGCCCAAGTTATTTCACACTCAAATGAGTGAAATTTAATCTGAAGCACCCCGGTTATTCTCTTTATTACTGACTTTAGTACTAATGTGAGTTTCTTATCTTTGAGAAAAGGTCAATAGAAGCACATATTTTAATAGAAATTCTATGCAAAATGAAAGGCTCTAAGAAGCCTGGAGAGATTTCCCGATGAATTAGAGAAGGTTGCAAATATATGAAAGATACTGCTTTTTGGCTGGTTAACTTGCTTACTCTCTGTCTTGAAATCTTAAAGCTGATGTTTCCAAAATACCCCTGTGAACAAAGTCTCTTCGGAATGCCTAATGCTCGTTTCATTTAGAGGCTTTAAGGAACCGTTAAGAGAGCCTTTCCATTCTTCCTCCTTCTCTAAGTCAAAGCTGATGTTTTTTTGAAAAAGTATCAGGATGCATTAATATTGCCCAACTAGCAAAATGCAACGTTCAGCACTTGTGTAGAACATAAGTATTTGTTGGCAAGCTTGAAGTGTTTGTAAAGCAGGGTCCTCACAGGTACATGCTGCCACAGTTCACTACTGCCATCAATTATTAAGTATTTTAAAAGAGAAAGCTTTGAGAAGACTGAGCCAGCCCATCGCAATTTTGCTAATAAACTCTCAAAGCCCATTCAGTCTCAACAAGCTGCACTCTATAAAGCTCGTTTTCTAGGCAAGGATTTTTGAGGGAGATAAGCAAAGAGTATAATAAAGTTGATACTCACAAAAACTTTGTCCCCAACCACATTTTCGAGGTGCAACTGTCTGGTGATCTCCTTCAGGGCCACTTTATCATTAGTCTGCAGAAGCCCTGAAAGAAAACGATTTTTCATGAAGAACTGGCAGTTCTCCTTCACTCCAAGAGGCCATGTCTACAGCCACTAGAAACTTATCCAGAAGCTTCTCTCCATTTCCAGCCTTACAAAGCTATGCCTTTTTATAAATTAAGACTAGACAGTAATTTTCTATATGTAATAAGAAGTTACTTAAAACAATTCCGTCACAACTGAACTGACTTTTAACATTTTGAAAAGTTATTAAAAGCACGCAAGCTCTCTTTATATAGAGAGATACAAAGAAAGGCATTTTGGACCTCACAGACAAACGTGTCCGTAATTGAGGCTAGATTACAACTTCTGAAATCAAAATCTTTGTTCAATACATACAATATGTAACAACTAAATATAACATAACACATGAATAATGCTGCATTACTTGCCATTCAGATGAACTTCCAAGAGGTTCCCTCTAACTTGTTTCATTTCCGTGAGCTCTTTTAAGACATGATTTAGTAACTAGGGAAAAAAAATACATAATTTCTTTATAAGAACATTAATGTATTAACAGTAAGAAAAGTGTACAAACGGGTATTATCAGGTAGGAAACAGTATGTTCAGTTTCATTAGGTAATAATGTTTTTGAGTATTTTCAAGACTAAAATACTAAAATGACAACTTCGCATTCACTATCATGACTGTAGCGATTACATTTGTTCATTCTGCTGAATTAGTAGTCATTTTTGGGGGTAATATCTAGGGCTTTTGCCTTAATCAAAAAAAGCTTTATGAGTTTGAGATGTGAGGGAATTTGTCTCTTGAGTTAGTATAGTATTTGGCTTCATTAGATGCTGTAGAACAAAAATCTTTGCTTAAATCTTTAAAGACACTACACTTATTATTTTCCTCTTACAGTTAGGAAGTATGAGACACAATTAAATTGCACATAATTACATCAACTACTGCTTATAAAACTTAGGGGTCCCAAATTTACAGCCCATCAACTTGTTCTTGGTAAAAGTCATAAGGACTTGGTAAAAGTCATAAGGAACTTGTATTAAAATAGCTATAAGTAGATGAAATGTTAACTTTTCATTCACTTGCTACTTCTTTGCTTTTGCTTTCTCAGCTGAGAATTTGCACCTCCCATCTATGTGTATGTACACATACATATATACACGCATACAATTTTCTTATCTCCAGCAGTCCTTTTTGAGAACTAACATCTTTCACTTGATATAGAATAAGAATATAATTCATTTCGTGATTTGCTTACTTATATTCTGGCAGGAAGGATCACAAATTTTCATCTTCACTATCCTTACATAAAAGGTTTGGAAGAAAATTTAAACTTTAATTAAATAATAAAAATAGTTTGAGTTTTGGTGATGGGGGGGCATGTGGTGTTTGAGGGATCATTCTGTTGTGGGTTTTTTAAAAACCTTAACATTTACTCCAATTAGCTGGTAGTATACAGCTCATCTATACTTTTCTATTGATACTGTATTTAGAAGTAGATACAGTTAGACTCCTACTACAGGTACCGACATTTACTATACGGATACTTGGAACAAAAAAGCTTATTCCCTTGGTTTCTCAAGTTTATGGCCAATAAGCAGATGCCATCCGTTCTGGCTAGCCTCTTACCCAACAATCTCAATTGTACCTTGAAAGTCTACATTGCAAATACGAGAAAATCTAAAAACTATTTTCTGCACTATGAGAGTGCTTGTTGCTTACTTACAAATCCATACATCTACTAAAGGAAAAATAAACTCCAGTTCAAGACTAGCAGGAAGTACGTAGGTGAAGGAATCCTTATTTGCCACTGGTTTATCAACGCTTTCCCCACCACCACTCCTTAGTATTTTGGCAATTATCCTTCTTCTGAAGCGTTATAGGGAGCAGAAGAAGGTAACAGTACTGACTGGTTTTGAAATGCAGAAAAAGAAAGCTATCAACAAATTGGCAGAATGATTGGTGTCAGCTGTATCATGGATATGTTTACCATCATTTATTTCTATTCAGCTGTATTTAAAAGCTTGAAGGCCACTTGCTTTAGCACTTGCGAAGACTTCCAAAGGAATTTTTGTAATTTTTCAATCTTGAATACTTTTTGCAGTAACAGCCAACCTATTTATCACATTATATACTCATGTAAACGCAAAAGATTTAAGTGTTATATACTTTAATATTATGCAAACACTTAAGTTAGATGTCATCCCTTCACATGCCTCAACTAAAAAGACTTTCTTTAAAATACAAAACCTACACTTGTAAACTAGAACTACCATACAATACTCTACCTCCTAGCAATTTAGGTAACAATCTCTGACACGTTTAAAACAGGATTAACATACCTTACCATTCTCTACATATAAAGAGCTACGTAGAAATCCACCCCTTAAGTCTACTCCTTTTACAGTTTTTGGATGCCTCTTCAGTCATTTTTACAGCAGACGCCCAATAGCAATAGCAGGCTAACTTTTAGAGAGTAAGCAAAATGTGGCTTTAGTTGCAAAGATGAACTCCTCTGTGGCAAGAACCGTTACAGAATTGTAATAGGAGAAATGCTGAAAGAAGGCAGAATCTATGACGTAGTCATATCACTGAATGACAAATAGAACTTGTTCTGATAAAATTCTTTCCATTTTACATGTTTTGGGTACCTGTAGGGCGTCATGAAACCTGGTGAAGACACGCGAAGAATTCCAAAACCACGCATACTCTGCAAGTCATTGTGAGGATGGACAGGTACGTGTTTTTGTCAGCTGCACGTGAAGCTATTCTATTTTACAAAATCACCAGGAACTAAGCATTTGAAAAATTTCAGATGTTAGGAAACTAATTTCTCCGTATTGTTATTCAACAGAATTAGCTCACAAGAAGTCCTAGAATGTTTTGAAATTATAGGTAAACAATTAGCAATTCTCTCTTTAAAAACAGAGATGAAAATTTAGGTCCGAAAGCTCCTAGGACTTCAGTGAGGTTCTCTCGTGCTTAATTTGACCTTTTATAAACTTTTAATACATGTTTATACCGCAGTCTTTCCTGATCCTCGGGGTCCAATAATGAGGGCAGAATTACTTTCTCCATGAACCGCAGTTCGTTTCAGCAATTCCAGCAGATGTCTGTGTTGACAACAGCAATAGGTTAAAAATGTCAAACCAGACAACGTTCACTGAAACTACGGGAAAATCAAAGAATCTTTAGAACATAAGAGAAAACTCGATACATTTCAACTTGCTCTCAGAGCCAACACTCAGGGCACGCAAAATGTAATACAATAAAGTACAAAAGGCTGAGTGATCAGATCTCTGAAAATTTTTTAAAATATTAAAACATGCAGAAGTCAGGAGTATCACTAATTCATAAAGTTTGACAATTCTCCACCATGAAATGACAGAATTCAATAATTATTTATTTCTAAAAAAAAAAAAAAAAAAGATTGCTCTCTGTGATACCACTATGGTTCACAAAAAAGGAAGTCTGGCAAACATATTGAAGGAAAACCTTGACATCAGTAAAAATTCATAATCTAGTGGAATATATTCATTTTGACAATCTTCATAAAACTGATTATATGCTAAATTTAGGTATTCAAAGCTTGTCAACAGTGACAACAATACTGAACTTCAAGTTCTTATTCTATTCCCACCCAAAAGAAGGAACAACGAATAACTATATTATCTTCAGACAGACTTATCACTGAGTACCACCGAGAAAGTGCTTATAAAAACTACTGACACTTCCAATTCCCAAATGTTTACAAACACATACATTCAATATGCTTTCTTTTTTTTTAATGCAGAATATTGACAGCATGCAATTGCTTCTAAAGGAGTGATAGAGTCATCAAGGAACAGCTGCAGCAAATGCATGTGGTTTTGTTCACTACTTGAGAGCTAACTATAGCCAAGATCCCCGATACACCTTGGGAAAGAAAAACGAAGAGCTGGGAAGTTCATCGTGTTTTCTAATTCATCAACAGTGGCCTGTTAAGTAGAAGACAGTCTGTAAAGTGTTTTTCAGAATCCCAATATAAAGAGGAGAGGCTTGTTTTGCAGAATACCAACATCAAAGAAATATATTTTCTCACAACAACAATAAACACATCTATGTGAGCTCTGCATGTGTATTACACTACGCTTTTTTAATAACAGAAGTGTTATTTTCCTTCCTGTAAGAGAAAAGAAACTAATGCTCACACCAGGTGATTCAACTTCCGTAAAGTTACTTTTAGAAAAATTGATCGTTTAAAACACGTTCTTCAGATACGTGTTTGTTATTTTCAGAATTTGACCTGCATCTGTAAAAGGATTAGCACTAGGATAGTCTTATTGTCACAACAGGTCCCTTCTTCCTAACTTTAACCTCCGCATCTGGATGACTCCAAGAAGTAGCTTTGTTTTAAATATGGGTCTCTACTTCACGAAACACGATGTTGACATCCAAGGTTTAAGATTTACTTTTAACACAGTTTACCAGTAAACTGGAGAAAATCTGAAGCAAAAATAAAGATTCACAACAAGAGAATTTAACTTTTTGCTTGGTCAGGTCATTAAACATAGCCTTAAAATATGCATTAAAAGTATCATCTTTCAGGCTCAAAAAAAAAGTGTTTCAGGAATTACAGATTTGAAACAAGGACAAGAAATGAAAACTCAGAGCCAGACAAAACAGCAAGCAACAGTTGTATAAAAACTCTTAAAATCTGAGGCAAGCAATTTTTAGAAGCATTGCGCTGCAAGTCACTTAAGCCTGTATAATTTAGAAAAACAGAGGTAGCAGAAAATTCTGAGTTCACCTGATAATTTTTCTGCTGTGGTTAAAGTAGAATCACTTAGTATTTGAGTCTGTTCACTCACCTGTGCTGATGTTCAATCCCGAACAGTTTTCCAGTAGCATAACGGCGACAGAATCTTTCACGTAAAATTTTTTGCACCTACAGAGGTAACACAAGACAGAAAGAATGCTTGGTGCTTCAAACACCAGAGTGTACCAATAATGTAATTACCGCAATAAAATAATAGTAAAATATGCATGTTTCTGTGGTGTTACAAACAGTCTGTAACATGTAAATGTTGTCATCAATAATAGAGGGGTCTCGAGTGCAAGAATAAAGTTGCAGCAGGCAGACTATTTAACAGACACTTTTGTAGCAGAAAAGAGAAAATTCAATTAAATGATAGCAACATGTGTCCCTTCTGCTACAGTTTCTTTCCTTCACCCCCAAAGGGATGTTACACTTGTTACCAAAATTAGGTCAGTAGTTCATCTAATTCAGAGTTCTAACTTACGGTGTAATACAGGCAAGAAAACACTAAGCAGTTGACTGAAATAAAAGGTAACCCCACTCAGTTATTCCCCCAAATCCACAGCAAATACACTTTTTGCACCACTCGCAATAACATTGCGGCCTACCACGTGTAAACATTAGAAAGTACCAAATTTACAGTTTCTTTGAAAATTCAGTTCAGATACCTTGTTCCTAAAAGTTTGGAAGGGGGAGCAGAAAGTAGTATGAAACTGAAGCTCACATATTGCTTACAAAGGATGGAACGAAGTCTACCCAGCTTGATTTTTAGATCAAGTTCCGAAGTCCTTCAAATTGCACAGGGAATACAGTTACTTTAACTATTGATTCGGATGTACTGCTTGGGGTATCTTTAGATATACGTCTGCCCTGACTTCTCTTCTCCGCGTTAAGAACTGTTACTTAAAATTGTATCTTCAATTCCCAAAGAGCCAACCTTCAGCATCATAGCAGATTTCTTCCTACCACTCGACTAGCAGCACCAAATTGGACAATCCCCATTTTTTAAGAATTTACAGGACTCCATACTACTATTTCTCCCCATCCCTCATTTAAGGTATTCAAAATACCTGCACACTCCATCCTTTTACAATGCTTGGTGTTCAATTTAAGTGCTCATTGTCAAAGAATGTCAGAGATCAAATTGCCAACTGTTAATGAAGTGACTTTCCTTTAAAATCTCACTTGAGCATCTTGCCTTTCAGTCTAAGTGAATGTCCATTTGATCTAAAAACTAACTATATCATTATCATGCACATCTGTGTCATTGCTTTTCCATTCTCTCAATCCAAGTCGGCTCATCTTCCCCCCGACATGGTTTTTCTCTACATTCTTCAGCTGCACCTCTTAACTGAGTCCTTTTTCATTTCTGCTGAATCCTGAGAAATCATGAAAAAGTGCAGTGTTCTATCCCAGGTAAACCTACACTGAGGCAACACTGTACCGCAAACGTTTTGTGTTTGTCTCACCTTAGGTAGCAGTTACTCGTTCAGCTGTTTTAGCTGACCAGTCCTGGGCTACATTACTAGCAGGCTTTTAGTATCTTGAAAATACGTCTTCTTCGAACGCTTAGCTAATTTATAATTTATGATAGAATTATCAGCATCAGCTCTAGGTGATTGGTTTAAAAATAAATACATGTGGACGCATCTTTGTGAAGTGCTCCTCAGCAAGTCTAAATAATGGACAGAAGAACAATAGACATCTATTTTGCTAATAATTCCACTTTATGAAATGAATTCTCTTTTAATATGAGCTGTACTTGTCTACCTGATTTCTCAGTTACTTTTTCTTCTACTAAAGTCTTACTGACTTGATTTCCAGATTTATTCCGTTTTAATGAACAATCTATCTGAACAGTCAGCATTGTCCATTCACAAGTGAAAAGGTTTTCCTCCTATAAAGGGATTTTATAGGTAAATGAAGGAAAGATATTAAAATATAAGGAATCACTGAACCAGAGGTTATTCACTGCAATATGCATCACAGTTGTTAAGTAGCCATTTTGAGAAAACAAAAGAATAAAGCTTAAAAAAAAAAAAGGAAAACTGATTCAGCAGCTGCTGTCCTACCTAACCCAGGCTGTTAAAAAAAAACAAAAAGTCCCCTAGATTCTGATTCACCCTACAAACTGGAAGATGAAGACTCTGTTTAGATAAAAATAGATTTATGCAAATCTGTTGCCACAAATGGCTGCAATAGAGCAAGGCCATCCTTTACCATTTTTATTAAGACTCCAAAAAGTACATCATTACTATAACACTTGAAGCAAGCAAACATCAGGTGAGAAGCTGAAAGAAATACAGAACATAAATACAAAACCCATTTACAGCCCTAGAAATTACATCAAGTATCTGTACATGCCTTTTTAGCTGGTCTAGTAGAAAACTATAGAATGACAGTGATGGGAGAGGATGGAAAAGTTTCATAACTTCAAAACAAAGTCAGTTAACAAAGATGTTACTAACCTGTGAAATGCATTCTCCGTTTGTGCCACTGTTCTCCTTTGACTTACGTTTACTCATTGCAGAAGTTTTCACCTTTAAAAAAGAAAGAGAATATAAGTTATACTCAATTACTCAGTTTTCCAAGTAATTGTTAGTTAGAAACTCTACTCAGATGTTAGTAAACTAAATTTAGTACAGCAAACAAAAGACAGTTTCTCATTACTAAGAACTTAAGTTGTAATGAACATCGTTTCTTAACTGATGATGTAGTTCACCTTACTAGTGAAAAAAAAAACTCAAACCTTGAAGCATTTTTAATTAATTTCTGATTAGATGAAATCCATGTTGATATATAACTTCTGAACAGCATTTGTTTTAGGATGCTTCAACGCAATGCAAACAGTGCCTAATGCAATAGGGAAGGTTTTCTTCAAGTTTCCTTCCAAGTTTATCTAGCAAGTTCTTAACGGCAATGATGACATTCACGAGTCTGTGAATGACATATTAAGTTCCACTAAGACAGCACAGCCACGGGCAAACTGATCTTGCACAGAACCAGGAGTGGCACAGCTCGTGCGTTTGTGCTTCAGATACGTTATTGCGAACAACCAAATCGATGCTCTTCAAGGATGTTGTACTAACAAGTGACATTTGCACACCTTCTCCTCTCACCAACCACCAAGTGTAATTTGTTTGTTTCAATTGCGTTTAGGGTAGTTTGAAACAAGGTGTTTGTGTTTCTGCAGCTGGAACAAGCTACAGGCACACGGTAACGTGTTAAGTTTTTTATAGGAACGATCGGCTATCCATGTCTATACTGGTGCAGCTTATAACAATAACCACAATGCCTCTCGAGATAAGCAGCCTGAGTAAAACCCAATTCTCCTTCTTTGTGCTAACAGAAAGCTCCCAAGCCTTACTCTGCAACAATTTACGCTTATTTTAGCCCAGCCGTTTCCCTTTTCTCCCAGTTTTGCTCATTCTATTGTACGGCCAGCACCGTTCGGGCCCCTGGCACAGCCGCTACGGCCGCAAAGGACGAGGCTGGCCGCTAAAAAACGCATCAGTGAGGTAGCCACTACGTGAGCAGACGCACAAGAGCGCACGGCGCGGGAACACAAAGCCGGGGAAGCTGAACCGAAGCCATTCCATCGGAACAGCAAGGCTACCGGGCGAGGAGCGCGCCCGTTCCCGTTTTTTTTTTTTTATCCGGGGGTCACAAAGTCCCACCGAAGCCCCCCAGCC